CCCAACTGTTCCTCGGTAAGATGAATGAATAAGCAGTTCTTTTACACTCAGCAGTGAAGATGAGTACAAACATCCATGTGTATAAAATCTCAAATGCGTAATTAAAATGCCAAAGAAAAGTAGAATGTGATCCCATTTATGGAGAGATTATTTTTACACATACAAATACCTACTCATTCATAAAACATAGACAGATAGAGATAGATAGATAGTTAGATAGATAGATAGATGATAGATAGATAGATACATAAATACATAGACTGTAGGGTGAATATGGGAAAAATCAGTATTACTTTTATCTTGGTGGTGAATTTGTAAGGTTTGTTTCCTGTCTTGCTTGAGGAAAAAGCTCATGTCTAAAGGGAAAGCAACAATTTAATTGGATAGGAAAATTTGGAGTAGGACTTTGCTAAGTTTTTCAATAGAAGACCAGGTAGGAAATATTGCCCACTTCATGGGCATTATGGTCACTGTCTGTACTACTCATGCTGCCCTTAATGCACAAATCAGCCATTGACTAAAAAGTAAGTGAATGATCATGGCTGTATTTCTGTATAGTTTCATTTGCAAAAACAGACCTCCAGTTGCATTTGGCTTGTGGGCCATAGCTTTCCTCAGTTTACAGTTGCCAGGGAGGTACGTGGTTTCAGCAGATAAGCAGTCTTAGGCGATGAGGATGATCATGAGGCCGTGAAAACCCCAAAGGAGTCTCTAGAGAATTAGCTAGGGAGTTAAATCACTAGCCTCTCAGCCTAAGAATCAAAATCATTCCTGAAGTGCCTTCAATTTTGAGGCTGTGGCAGTAGAAAACACATAAAAATAATCCCTGATGTTTAACATTGCTGGAGGTTTTGGTTTAGATGTTTTGTTTGGTTTTGAGTCTGTTTTCACTTAGGTGGTGAAAGCAAGTTTATCTCACATGCACCTATGACTATTTAGCCCTGAATAATTTCCTTCAACCTTCTAAGAATATACTAGAACCTTTGGGTCACATAAAATTTTCAGCCCCTCTCCCATTTATTACTCTTACACAGCCTAGTTCTGCTCTACACTCACCTCTAAAAACCTCAACAAAGTCAATGGAATTGAGTTCAAAAGCTTCATTGCACTCATGACCTGTGATGCTTTCTCATTTGCATATACCTGTTGGGATGGGCCATCAACATTGGTGGATCCATTCCTAGAAATGAAGCTTTCCTATCGCATTGTAATGCTCTTCTTTAGGTCTTCACATGTCTAGGAAAAGTGGACAGAGAAGAGTTGTGACTTCTTAGCTGCCTAAGACTAGACTGTGTTGGCCTGGAAAGCCCTTGTTCTGGTATCTACAAAGGCCAGGATCAAGGGCGTTCACTTAAGAGGAAAATCCTTCCACTACATCTCTTTTTGAACAATCAACTTTGGCCAATGCAGTCTGCTTAGGCCATCAGCATTTACAGTCCTGGCACCCCTTACAAATTGACAACAATGTCAGGCCAGAAGGATGGTTAATAAAACCAACAGGATTTATTTACGAGCTTCTTCTGATATAAGCCAAACACAAGATGGGAAAGTAAAATGAAGTGTCCTCACGCTGTCATTCCTGGCAGTCACGGTTACATTCCTGAGAGGTTAATTGTGTGCCAGCCATTTCTCTGAACAGCAAAGGAGTTTGGAATAGAGCAGGACTCTGAAGTGATAAACTCAGGTCTGGGGGGTTTGTGTGTGCTGGGAGGTTGGCTAAGTGAAGAGAGAGGCAGGTACATTCTCTCCTCCAGTGAAGCCAGTATAAGCCAGGGCCAGCAGAATGCTTCCGGCCACAGCTGGCTTAACTGCCTGAAATAAAGAGGCCTCATCCTAACAGTCACTGTGCAGAAGCAGCCTTTGCCTGCTTACCTGCTGTTGAGATGCAGTCCTTGGTGAGCTTCCTGTCGCCTTGTGTGAAGGAGAAAAGGAACGAGCTGTGAGGAAGGAGAGGGAGAAGAGCCTGACTTGGCTCCTGTCACCTAGATTTCATTAGAATCTTTTCCTTGTCCTGAAAACTGGAGGTTCGCACTTATTTCCAGGTTCTTATGAGACATGACTGTTAGAGATGTTCACCAGATGTTCTGAAACTCATTTAAAATGTTCAAATAATGCATGTTGTTGATCACTACATCTGATGCTGCTGACATGAGTTTTTGTCCCAAATTGATCTGAACATGTTTCAGCTCTGTTCTCCCCGGTGACAATTCTAACCTGTTGAACCAGAGGGTGCCATCTTGAGCTTGTGAGGCTGTGGTGGGAACCACAAGCTGAGAACCAAAAGGGACTCACAAACTCTTGGTTGTATTTACTCAGAATGTTAATAATTTCAGAAATTATTAAAATGGAACCAAAGTACTTTCTTTTTAAGAGGCTACTGAGATCACGAATCATTCCACAAATATAATAAACTGAGTAGGCAGAACAAATGCAATATTCAGTGCTCACCACGGGTCTGTTGGAAGCGTGTTCCCTTTCATATGACACTTCATGTGTGGAACAAAGGAGGCATGAGAAAAATCCTTTAAAAATTTGGGCTTAAATTTTCAGTAATTGTGTTGGACAAAAGGTTTTTACAGGAAGAAGGAGGAGGGGGGAAAATGGAGGAAGATGGGGAAGAGAACGGGAGGGAGAAGAGGAAGAGAAAGAAGAAATAAGGGTAAAGAGCAGAAAAAGAGGGAGGAGAGAGCGTAGAGGAGCAGAGGAAAAAGAGAACAATATCTCTCTGCTCTTGGCTTTTTATGTCTTTTTGTCAGTGTCACCCACATTACCCAACTACCATGCATTTGGCAGTATCAGTGCCTGGAAGAATCCTGTTTGGATTGTAGAGGACTTATTTAATTGTTTCTTCCTAGGCTCCTCCTGCTCTTTCTCCAAGCGCAACTCATGTTTTTTCCTTAATCCCTTGGAGCCACGGGTGCTAGGGTTAATCAGCTTCCCCTCACTGCAACAAAATACCTGAGATAATCAACTTAAAATGAGGAAAGGTTTATTCTGGCTTGAATCTTGGAAGTTTCATTTCAATTCATGGGTAGTTGATCTCATTGCTTCTGAGCATATAGGAGAGCAGAATGTCAAGGCAGGAGAGTGTGGCAAAGTAAGCTGCTTATTTCCTGCTAACGGAACCAAAGAGAAAAAGAGAGAGGGACTTGAGTCCCACAGTCTCTTTTCAGGTGACTATATCTTCCTGCTAGTCTCCATCAACCTTTTAAAAGTTTCACCACCTTCCAACAGTGTCAAGCCAGCAATCAAGCTTTTACCACAAGGACTTTGGGAGGCATTTAAGATCCAAAGCATAGCAGGAAGATGTTGGAATTTAAAAAGCCAATCACAGTGTGCACTCTTGAATTAATACTTCACAGAAAGTTGATGTGTAAAACCTCTTGCTGCTTTGACCTAAACTAGTAAGAGTGACACCAAAAATAATTCAAGCATAGGTATGCTACAATCATGGAGTCCAGAGCTGGGATCCCTGGATTCAAATATTTCACACACTGGCTTTGTGATCTTCAGCCTGTCATTGCCTCAGTTTCTTCATCCATAAATGAGGGGAAGTAACAGTGCTTATATCACAGAACTCTGATGATTGACGCTATTCACACATGAAAGGAAATTGTATGCATATCTGATGACTTTTGATAACCAATAAGCATTAGCTATGCTAATGTTAGTATCTATGTTATCTTTGAACTTGAAGTTTCTTATAATTAGTATTAAATTTTTAGTCATTTCTATATGCTTATATCTAACACATACAGTATAAATAATGTGTATTATGTGATCAAATGATGATATTTGTTGATATATATGTTTTAAAGTGTGCATGCTAAAGAACTGGAATTCATGCAGTTCTTTCTATGAATAGTAAAATACACAGAAAGAGGATGAATAAAGGTGACAATAATGATGCTGATGATGATGAAGACCATGTTAGGAGTTACAATTATAAAATGTCATGGGAGTCATCTCTTTCCTGGGTATCATTGGTACTTGATTATTCAGGAAACTGTAAAAGTTTCAAGTGTGACTTGAACTGTGAAGTCCATGTTTCATTTCAAAAGAATTTGGTTTTCCTCTTACAAGACATGTTTTAGGTGGAATTCTCTCGAATTCCCATTTTGTTGTATGTCATCATCTCCTGATACCCAGGCTGGGAAAAACCCTTCACATTGGCATTAGACAATTTTAATATGCCCTTGGAGATTTCTTAATTCACACCAAGGAGTTGATTTCCACTATAGGATTCTAATTTAGGACTCATTCAACTGACTTGAACGTCTATGTGAGATGTTAAATGCTGAGTACTGTTTACTCTCTAAAAAGTAATAATGAGCAGAGATGAAATTATTAGTTTTTTTAGCCATCTACATTTCTATCTTCAGTACTCATTCTTAAAATCATTGTGAGCTTTCCATTTACTTTTAACTTATTAATTTTTCTGAGCTTATCTGTGTCTAAGGGTTAACCTGGATGGCCCCAAGGTGAATGCCAGGTCCCAAATCCTGGGCCACTCCTCAGTGGTTTTGCAAACCTGGCCAAATGACTCGAACTCTGAGGGTCTCAATTTACTTCACCGTAAAGTGGATACTGATGCCACTCCCCCTGAGGGTCAAATGTGCCCACCGGGCCTCCACTGGCCTGCATTAAAACACAATCCTTGTGAGGACATAACCTTTCCTGGTGCTTCTCCCAAGGAGCTGGAGGATTCCTCATTGCCTTCGCTTTAATTTTCTTTCTTCCGTGAATTGTCCAATTTGTGTGTTTTCTAACAGTATTAGGAATTGCACCCTGAGCTCTCTGCCTTTTGGGCGCTGTCAGGGTACTGTCAAAACTGTCGCCAAGTGCACAATTTAATCCTTTCTTACTTTTGCTGCTCAGGCCCTCAGCCAGTCCCACCTGACTGCGCCTCCTAATGCAACCGAAACATATGAAAAGGGAGCACTCACCCCGCGCTCCATCGCCCTCCCCACCCACCCACTGACTCTCTCTTCTCCTTGCAGGATGTTCTGGAAGCTTTCCTTCTCCTTCTTCCTGCTGGCCGTGCTGGTGAAGGTGGCTGAAGCCCGGAAGAACCGGCCAGCGGGCGCCATCCCCTCTCCTTACAAGGACGGCAGCAGCAACAACTCGGAGAGATGGCAGCACCAGATCAAAGAGGTGCTGGCCTCCAGCCAGGAGGCGCTGGTGGTGACCGAGCGCAAGTACCTCAAGAGTGACTGGTGCAAGACGCAGCCGCTGCGGCAGACGGTGAGCGAGGAGGGCTGCCGCAGCCGCACCATCCTCAACCGCTTCTGCTACGGCCAGTGCAACTCCTTCTACATCCCGCGGCACGTCAAGAAGGAGGAGGAGTCCTTCCAGTCCTGCGCCTTCTGCAAGCCGCAGCGCGTCACCTCGGTCCTCGTGGAGCTCGAGTGCCCCGGGCTCGACCCACCCTTCCGACTCAAAAAGATCCAGAAGGTGAAGCAGTGCCGGTGCATGTCCGTGAACCTGAGCGACTCGGACAAGCAGTGAGCGCCCAGCGGGGCGCAGCTGGGCTCTGCGCGCCCTGGCGCCCGGGTCGCACCGCGCCGCCGCCCCGTCCCCTGAGCGCCTTCACGCACTGTCAGGCGTCGCCCCTCTGCAGCCAGCGTGTCGCGTGGGGCTGACGGTGTCCTCGCCACGAACGTGGACCCCTAGCGGAGCTCGGCTGATGTGTTCCTGACCAGCTCAGGCCGCGTCTGCGCGTGCAAACCAGGCTGTGGCTCAGGCTCAGTGCAAAGATGCTGGGACCCCAGCGCCAGCCCCAGCAGTCAGAAAAGATTTCCCGGGGGGATGCGCTACAAAGCCGGCCTGGATGCTTCCACCGTGTGGAAGCCGATATTTCTCTGGCCTTGCTTTACACTCCAGCTCGCTGCTCCCCGTGCGACGGAGGGATCCCTCTCCTGAGGAGCCCCTCAAACTTCTGCTGGGTCCTGGACCTCTGGGAGGTGGGGCGGTCCATTCTTGTGACTGCAGCGTTGTCCCAGGCTGCTGCTGCGATGCTGGTGTGGACCACGTCCATAAAAGAGTTGGCCTTGGACGGGAGTCTCCTAATAAACCTGGCAGCGAGAAGACACCGTGAGCCCCTTGGATCACGAAAGTCAGTTGGGTCCTCGAGCTCTCTCTTGGCAGGACACGCCCTGCACACACCACCTCTTCTTCCTCCCTCCCCGTCCCCACCTGTGGACTCAAGATGAACTCTAGTGTGCATGCTATTGTCCCTGCAGTTACAATATTATCACGCACAAGGTCTCTATATTAACGCTGGTTTTATAATTGACCTATATTGTAAAGAGCTGTTTTTTTTATTAAGTATTCTAGATCTATCCATGTATTGTTTCACGTGTTTTGACCCTGGCTTTGCAGAATCCTTCTGAGTAGGGTGGAGATCGGGTGACAATCTGCCCAGAAGGTATTGTACTCGGAAGTAATGCCTGGCCAGCAATTCACTGCCATGCACATACTTTAGATTGGGCAGGGAGATGGGGGAGTCGTGATTTTCCTTGGAATATTGTATCACTGAAGGTACTAATGCATTGCAGTACGTGTAGAAACTGGGTTGGGATGAATGAATGTAGGGAGGGAGATTTATGGGGGAGTTCTTATTGCAAACCCCCTTCAATATTTAATGTGTATTTGTGGGGGGAGGTGGTACTATTTTTACTGCCATGATACTAAGAAAAAAAAATACACTCTCTGTTAAAATAAAGATTTTTAAAGGATATAAGGAATCAGGTCACTTTGTGATGCAGGAGGAAGTAAAGGATAAATATAGAGAAAATAGTCGTCTAGCGGAATAGTCCTAGAGAAAGTAACTAGTATCCTTTCCAAAGAATAGATGTTAAAAAGTATAAGCAAACATTAAGTCACCTTTCATTACATTAATGTTTTGCTGAAGAATCTGTATTGTGGTCCCTTCGTATAGGGAAGTTGACATAATTTATTTTCCTGCAAAATTATATCCACTTTGAGTCCCTTTGCTAAATGGATTCAGCAAGGCCTCCTGTGAGTAATGGTCATGAGGGCTAGCAAATGTGAATGAGATGTTGGTAGGAGCTGAGGTACTCTAAAAATCTTTTTTCTGGCAATTTCCAAGCAAGTGCTCCTGACAAAGGGGTTGGTTCCCTAGTAAATGAGAGAGACCCTCTACAAGCTGCTCTGGGGACTGAGGCTTCCTGACTCCTCACAGAGCAGATCTAGAGTCTGTCACCTAGAGAGCAAGGATCGGGGTGAGGTGTGGAATGCTGGTGATTATTTCTGCTGCTGCACGGCAGGTTTTATATATGTGTTATTTCTTTACTACCATTTAAAAAAATCTGGGCACAGACTGTACCTTGTGAAGGGCATTTTGGCTTCAGAAATATATACAGCCTGAAATCAGGAATGAAAACAAAAATCATTGAGGGCTGGAACCTGAGGATAGAAACAAGCAGAAAGGGTACACAAGGTCAGGATTGGTTTTTGCATTGAGGAGAAAACTTGGAGTCAGGCTCAGTGCAGAACAAGCAGCAGAAGAGCTGGGAAGGAAGGAAACCCATGTGTTCCAAACGGAAGTTGATAGAGGCAAGTGGAAAGGCAGTGGGGAGTCTCTGATTCAAGTGAGAGGTCAACCGTATTATCTATTAACAGAGAGCTCACGTAGACGGGGAAGGAAGGAGCTAGGAACTCACAGAATACAAACCTGAGCCCTCTCTTGGAACCCAATCGTGGGTGTAGCAATGAAAGCAATATGATATGCTGCAGGGTGAAGCTCCTTTGGGGGGTTATTGTATGTATAAAGTTTACCTTATAATGGCTCAAAATGTATTTAATTGTTTTCCGTTTTGTTTATAAATGAAAAAAAAGCTATAAGTATAATGTAATTATTTTATAGGTATACTATTAAATTATAGAACAAATAAAGATACTCTAGGATTATATGTGATCCTGGTGTGCTGTGCCATAAAAGTGGAATTCGAAACTTGTTTCATTGGGTGGATGGCAGAAGAGGCCTGTGTGATCAGAGTACCTCTGTTCAACCACAGCGAGCTCAGCCAGGCCGCTGCCCATGCTCTCCTTGGGGTCCTGACATCATGGAGAATCCGAATCGGATGTTGAAGGCGTGGAGGGAGTGGGAGTGGCTGTCAGTCCTGGTTTTGGGAGCGTCCATGCTTCTACCTTATCCCCCACCAGCTGAAGACAGAACATTCGCACTGTGTTCTCTGAATGAGAAACACCGGCTGAGGAAGCCCAGAAAAACCGATGCGAGTGAAGCTCCCCGTAAGCCTCTTCCTTTTGGCAGACAATGCACTGCTCTTGTCTCCTGCACAGGCTAGAAACTGTCATGAGTTTTGTTCATTTTCACACTTACTTCTCCCAAGTTCCAACGTCTTTTAATTTAAACACTTCTTAGTTTCACAATGTTGCTATTTTTCCACTAATCAAACTGCCACTCGAGAAACTCAATGATCAATAAAAAGTAAAATCCTTAATAAAACTGCACATGGTTGATTCACTGTATGAAATGGAAAAGAATTAAATTCAACTTATTGAGAAATAAGTTACCTTAGTTTATTAAATGAGATGAAATAGTTTACTTTGGCATACAGTATATCTGGCTTATGAGACTGGCTGATTTTTAAGTTATAAAGTCAATAAAAATGAATTTGTGCTGTTGGATGAGCAACTTAGAATGTATTCCCAGGAAGTTTATTTAATACTTGATCAATCACTACTGATTATAAATGTCTGTGTGAGGGGTGTCAATAAGCACAGATCAAAAACAAAGCGATTAAAACCTGTGGATCATCAGGTTGTTTGCAGAATACTCCTGAACCCCCACCTTGGCACCTTCTCACTCAGTTTCTTGGAGACCATTCCTCAGTCACAGCAGGCTGTCCATCCACTTCACTGAAAGCAAAATATGGAAAGCCATGCTGTGTTGTAGTTAGGGCTGTATCCATGAATGTTTCTGCATTACTAGCTTCTCGAGTATTTAGTCTAGAAAAATTCAGTTAAGCAAACAAAACCAGAGAATTCATTGTGACAAGGGTGCCTGAGTCCTGAGATCCCATATCTGGCCTAACTTCCTTTGTCTACTTTTTTTTAACTGAATGGGTGACTGAATCTAGAGCCTTTTCCCTGAACTCTTTTATTATTATTATTATTTTTTGAGACAGGATCTTGTTAAGTGGCTAAGCAACTGAGATTGAATTTGAGATTTTTCTTTCATAGGCTCTCAGAGTTCGATATTACAGGTATACACCACCATACCAGTCTCTTTCTGATATAGATAGATAGATAGATAGATAGATAGATAGATAGATAGATAGATTTAGAGATTTTAGTGGGAGATACAGGGAAACCATGTCTACCTTATCTGGAGCCAGAAGTTTCCTGCATGTCTATAAAGTTAATCACCCACTAGGTGATTATCATAGATGCTCACCAAGGCCTCCAATATACCTGTCCCATATTTCTTAGCTGGCCGTACTACATCAGAAGGTAAATCAGTGTAGTATTTTACAGAATTCCCATATAATTCAAGTCTTTTTAGTTTATATTTTGACAAAAGATAGTAAAAACTTAAGTAGCCCCTATCGAGACCATAAAAATAAACTGTTGTCTATCTCAATGCAGGATGCATCTAGCTCTCCTTTGTAATAGGCATAGCAAAAATAAATCAAGCCAATATAGTAAAATAAATGGCAACCCAGAGTTGCCACTGTCATAATCAAGTATTGGAGGGTTTCACTGATTGTCCCTATTCCTTCTGGAATTCAGTGCTGCTTTTTGCTTATGCTTTGCTAGGGTAGGAAGCAGCTCAGAGCTTCCACTTGCCTTTTCTCACTACAATAGTCCTTGTCTAAGAGGTGAAAGAATCAATGTGAGTGAGTTTCAAGCTACCAAATACAAGTATGTATTTGGAAATGACGGAAAGGGGCATTCAGCTGGTCCATGGAGCAGGGGCCCACTGAGAGCCAGATGTTAGGTGGGGCTTTAGCAGTCCCCCTGCACCTCTGCTGTAGCAGGAAGTCAAGTGATTTATTAGATCTCCAGTGTCAACTGAGATCTATTCTTCAGTAATCTCAAAAGTGCTGAGTATTCTTTTCTTCAAAACACATTTACCTGAATAATTGGTCCAAAGTTCCCAAGGTAACAACTATAGAAATAGCCTATAGGTAGATTTGTCCCTATACTGAAAATACTTTACTTACAGAGAATTTGCCACTTTTTAAGCCAGTGGGTTCTACATCTGATCCGGAAACCAGGAAAAGAACTGAAATTTTTACCAAGATGCTGCCCTCTGCCTCACTGTGTTAATTGAACAGCACTCTTGTTGGCTGTACATTTAGAAATATCATATTCTATTAACCATCTCCAAATTGGACCTCTGGATGTCAGTCCAGTACCACCATAATTTGGAACAAATGGATCCACATTACTTCTGAAAGCTAAGCATTACAACTGATTTAAATTATTTAGAGATCTTGCTATTTTCCTATCCATCAAAGAGCCCCATTTCATAACGGCATCCCTTTAGCCCTGTCTACAGATAGCAGGAGATATCAACATCCCTGCAAAACTGCTCCTCCTTTCACCAGAACAGACCTCTTGGGAATGCAATCGGATTAGCATGTTGTTTATTTTGTTTCATTGTTAACTTTACATAGCCACTCTGTGCATGCATGGTTCTTTGGGTCTTTGGTTCTTTCTCTGCACCATACATCATGGCAATTCCTGTATTTCACTGAACGTGGACCACAGCTTTTGTCATTCTCTTAAGAATCATCCTGCAGCTTATTACCACAATTCCTGGAATTTGCCACAAAGTTAGCCCTTGAATCATGGGAAATGTCTCCTCGGATGATAAGGATCCCATATCCAACTTAATGACACTCCCCTCACCCCTACCTTGGCAGCTTCCAGGCACATTCCTCATGCTTCTTCTCCTGGCTCCTGCAATAACTTCACTGTATATGCTTCTCACTACTTAACCAACCCGACACTTCCCATAACCACAGGTCTACAAATTTCAAGGAAATTTGAAGCTTCAGATTTTCAACTCCTTCCATCCAGATGTACCTCTCTCAACTCCCCATCCCTTCCCCATGCTGGCCTTTATCTTCCCAGGGGAGAATTGTAAGAGCTATCAAGGCAAACTTTTCTGTGGCAACACCACAGAACCAGAGACAGGATCACCTACACCACAACACTACCTACAACCAGAGTCTTCCTTTGACCGCTGGAACTGGGATTTAATAAAAAGTTCCAAGGAAATACTTCCTATAGTTTTCATATTCTGCCTGAATTTGCAGTTAATCACCGTTTCATTATCTTTTCAACAACCCATGCCGTTTGTAAATAAGTACCAGTCTTAGCATCCTTATAGGCACTTGATCCCTCCTACCTTTTAAGCACCAAAGGTGTACCAGCCAGCAAATTCCTTCCCTAGGGGCTCATGTGGGAAAAGCAATGCCCTGGAACAGGCTAGCTGGGGCTTACAATGAACCATCTCCAAATCTCTTGTTACAATATTCTTCCTTGAGCTGCTTCTGGAACTACCTATATCAGACTGGTTTTCTAAACTCTGGGAGTTCTGAGTAAGTTTATTGGAAGTATCTGCAGGACTAGACCACACTGACTAGAAAGTGAAGAGAATCAGACTGTGCAAAGGGCAAAGAAATTTGGTTGCAAGTGAAGTCTTGCTGATCCAATTGGGAGTTCTGGAGCCAATGTGGCATTTTAAGTTGACTCACAGGGACAGACTTTTGTAACCCATAGCCATTGTCTGTCTATTCAATAGCTTTTCCATAGAATGAGGGCCTGCATTTCCCTCCACTAAGGGCAACTCAGTGAGGAATCCAACTGTGTGCTTCCACACATGGTATTTTCGGTGGGAATCAGAAGATGGAGTGAGATGAGATGGTGCACAGCCTTAAAGAGGAGGTCTGGGCAGATACACTTTTCTTGGAGTGTGTGATGGGAGAAGGTTACGGGAGGAGAGAAGAGACAGCGAGTGGAGAATATGAGTGCCCTTGAAATAGGCAGAGGAAGTTCCATCTGATCTCACTGGAAGTTAAAAAAATCACTGAGAGATTTGGTCAAGGTTATTTGAGTCCAGATATGCAAGGCAATTGGATGGAACAGAATCCACATCTGGACAAACCAGTTCATTGGCTCTTGCAAAAACATAGACTGGTGACCAGGAACAGACATGGTTATAGAACTGGATCTGAAAAGAACAGACAAGAGTGGAAAGTTCTGTGGAATATAGGGTCAAAACTGGAGTGTGTCAAAAGATTAGGAGGCCAATGTAAGTGGAGACCTGATGTTAGATAAGTAAAGGTGATGTGGATTTTTATAGATGTTGGGTCTGCAGCGAGAATGAAATCATCTAAAGGGAACTTTCACTCCCATTTGAAGAAATAAGACAGATTTGAGTGAGAAGCTAGCTATGGAGAAACAGATAATAGAAGCAAATGACCCACGAACACAGATGAGCCATCTAATAGGAAAAGCAGAGGAATAGAGGGCAGAGTAACCTGAAAAACACTCCTTCAAAAGTAGGAAGAGGAGAAAACATTACAGGAGATGAGCTGCATTCTCAGGTAAGGCCCACCTGTTGTCCAATTATTCCTGTTTGTGTTTCATCTCTTGCTACTGACAGGGCTTCTAGCTTACATGCTCACTTGCTATGTAACTTTGTGGCCACATAGCATTTCAGCTCCTTCATCTCACCTGATGACAATAACCTTTCTCTGCTCTTTCTCCCTGCCATTTCTTCCTGATGAAACACTGACAGCCTGAACTCCACCTCCAATTCGTGTTCCTAGTGTAGTGAACTACACACACAGCTGGATGCGATGGCGCACACTTGCAGTCCAAGCTACTTGGGAGGTTGAGACAGGGGGAACATTTCAACCCAGGAAGTCAAGGCCAGCC